GAGGGGGAGGGGGGAAAGAAGGAGAGAGAGAGAGAGAGAGAGAGAGAGCGCTAGGTCATGGAAAGCTCACAACCAAGACTGCAGGCTAGCTGGTGACTCTAGATAATTTGTAGCTCTATAAAGCCTCTTCCAGGCCAGGAGAGGCAGTTAGAAGTTTCCTTATGTGCAATCAGTACCTGGCTCCAGATCCTCAGAATACTAAGGACTATAAGACAGATTTCCTGACTGGTTTGATACTAAAATCCTCTGACTTCAGAGAGCACAGACACTAATAGGCTGAACTGTGCCTGGCAAGACTGCTATTGTCTTTGTTGTTTGTTGAAACCTGCATGTCATCTGACTCTCAATACCTCTGGGCAACTCCCAACACTCAAACCAAGAAATTGCAATACAATCAATAAAACATTAAAAGATGATAAGTGCGATAGGCCATATGGAACGAAGCAGAACGTGCCCGTTTGTTTCTTTGTTGTCAGTGCTGTTTTGCTCAGTCATGCAACTTTACCGTTGCTGTTCCTGTGAGAATTGATTAATTATTCCTACCTCTTGGGACATAGATGTGGGTCTCTATAGCTTACTTCAATTAGCTTAATTCTCATGTAGCCACACTGTTGTATGTATGAAAATATAAACCATGTACTTGTTGTTAGTGCAATGTTGGATTTCTACTGGCATCACGTATTCCAAAACCACTAAGGTTTAGTCACCCTGCTTACAGTGGAGAAACTGGAGCCATTTTGTCAGAGTTTAGATCAGGGGAAGGGGGTGATCTCTCCCCTGCAGAGAAATGTGCACTCAAGAATAGATAATAGCTTAACTGTCTGTCCTGGATGAGAATTCTTTCACTGGGGGGAGATACAGGTAGTCTTCGACTTACAACCGCGATTGAACCCAAAATTTCTGTTGCTAAGTGAGACAGTTTTTAAGTGAGTTTTGCACCCATTTTATGACCTTTCTTGCCACAGTTGTTACGTGAATCACTGCAGTTGTTAGTAACATTGTTGTTAAGTGAATCTGGCTTCCTCATTGACTTTGCTTGCCAGAAGGTGGCAAAAGGTGATCACGTGACCCCGGGACACGGCAACCATCATAAATATTAGTCAAGTGTCTGAATTTTGATCATGTGACCACAGGGCCGCTGCAACAGTCGTAAGTGTAAAAAAAGCGGTCCGAAGTCATTTTTTTCCAGTGCCGTTGTAACTTTGAATGATCACTAAATGAACTGTTGTAAGTCTACAACTCCCTCTATTTCTATCCAGATACTTGCAACTCAGTTAGGGGGAATGGGAAGATGGAGATCCAAAGAAGGGGTTTAACGCAGTGGTGGGATTCAAATATGTGAACAACCGGTTCTCTGTGTGGATGTCGCTTCCAGAAGTCCATTTCTGGGCCTGGGCAACAAAAAATTAGCTACCGGTTCTGCCGAAGTGGTGCGAACTGGCTGAATCCCACCACTGGTTTAACAGATTTACCTTATGTATTTGTGACAGCCACTCTATGTCCTACAGAAGCGATAAAGCTAGAAAACTGTAGGATTATATTCTATGATGTCAGCTCCCAGGTAAATGAGACAGGTAACGCAGCCAGATAAACTAATTCTACTTTACTGTAAGGCTGCATTAACAGAATCTTGGAAGTCTGAAAGTACAACGCTCCCGACTTTATAGCCTGATCATTTAGGATGGGCCCTTCCCAAGTTTTTTCCTCTGGCCGTTAAGCAACTGTGGGCTCTCCTCTTATCTGATCATTCCGTAGGTCATTCTCCCACACTGTGGTATCACTCACAAGAAAACCGTTGACCTACTGAGATGCTGTTATCAAAAATGCAAAGTCCACGTTGGAGATCATTAGAAGAGGAATTAATTGATCATGCAGCCACACTTGGAACAGTAATTAGAATGCTTCTCATGAACTAAATATTTAAGAGCTGGGAAAAAGTATCAGAAAGGGCAATTAAATTATACGCGGTCAGGGTTTCTCTGAACGAAATAACTGCTTTGGATTTTTGGTATGGAAGGAAAGAAAAAAAAATGATGGAGGCACATTAAGGATGGGATAGGGAATTTGGGGGAAAAAAACGCAGGGTCCTGTTTATGGATCTGAATGGGGGAAATGCCTATATAGGTAGTCCTCAACTTACAACCGTTTGTTTAGTGACTGTTTGAAGTTACCGTGGCACTGAAAAAAGCGACATGATCATTATTCTAGAGGAAGTGACAGTAGGAATCTGCCTAAATCGGCCTTTTTATGAATGGAGGAGCTCTTCCCCCAGCAATCATTTTGTGAATGCGCCCATCACTTAGCACTAAGTGTGCCCACAGTGTGTTTATTAATCTTTTCAGTGTGTGCCGGTCACTCCCAAATTGTGGGGGGAAACTGGATAGCTGCATTTGAAAATTAACAATACTGTTTCATTACGTTGTTTCATTAATAATTAAGAATGCAAGTTGGGTTATTTTCTGTTTTGTGGGATAAACTCTTACCCATCATGCATCTTGCAGGCTGTTGCTGCTTTTGCCGTGTCTGCTGTGGCCGCTCAGTGGGAGAGAACAGGCAAACCGTTTAACCCTCTCCTTGGAGAAACATATGAATTAATCAGGTGAGGCTACAGTCTTAATTTCATTTGGGAATGTGCCTTATATGTCGCCGGCTCCTGGTCCAAAATAATGTCTTCAGGTTGGATTTTGTGAATAAAGGTACTAGCCAGATAGCCAGATGCCTGACTGTTTCAAAATGGCATAGGCCAGGGGTAGGCAACCTTGGCTTTTTTATGACTCGTGGACTTCAACTCCCAGAATTCCTGAGCCAGCCATGCTGAGGGAAACAGGAGAGGTTTCCAAGCTGAGCCATGCTGGCTTAGGAATTCTGGGAGTCCACGAGTCATAAAAGAGCCAAGGTTGCCTACCCCTGGCATAGGCTACTCCTACGCAACATAATGCCTTCCAGATCTTTCGAGATCGTCCCTTGTAGAATTTCTAGCTGGGAATGACCACATCATGGAAGGTAAATATTGTGTAAATTTCACTCTGCTGCTTCTGTGGCAGACCAGGTTAGGAATAAAAAGTTTTGAACCTGAAGAAGCAAAAGGGAAATGACCTATAAAGGGTAAAAACCAGGGAGGATTGGAAGTGTTGTCTAGGGTGGTCTCCACTTGATAGAGTAACTTACCTCCAAGCTTTGACTGGTAACAAGCGGCCTTTCATAAAGCCAATGTCAAGAATGAAACTTTGGCAGCTACATGACTCTTCGTTTCCAGCAAGCGGGCCTGGCCTAGAGAGGATTTTAAATTGGGTTTATTTTAAGGAAATTTTAAACAGGAAATCACAACGTTAAATATTTGGCTTTTAATTGACCGCCTTCTGCCACAGATTCCCTCTCACAGACCGGTACGCTCCCACAGAGCGGGCCTCCTCAGGGTGCCGTCGGCCAAGCAATGTCGGCTGGCGACCCCCAGGGGGAGGGCCTTCTCTGTGGGTGCCCCCACCCTCTGGAACGAACTACCCCCCGAGATCCGGACGATTCCGGATCTCCTAGCTTTCCGCCGCGCCCNACATGGCTTTTTCAGCAAGCGGGTCTGGCCTAGGGAGAATTTTAAATAGGGACAATTTTAATTATTATTTTAACATGACACAGCGGTAAATATTTGTTTTTAATTGGTTTTTATTGGGGATAATGCTTTGGTACTGTTTTAATATGCTGTGAGCCGCCCTGAGTCCTGTGGGGAGAAGGGCGGCATATAAGTCTAATAATAATAATAATAATAATAATAATAATAATTCGGTGGGGATTGTGGGTATGTTTTTGTTTTTAAATAGGTTGTGAGCCGCCCTGAGTCCCGTCGGGAGAAGGGCGGGATATAAATCAAAATAATAAATAAATAAATAAATAAATAAATAAATAAACTTGCCATTAGCCTAAGGGGGGGGGGAGGTGTTGCTTTAGAATGGGTTAGATGGAGAAACGAAACCTCTATGATTTCGCTGAAGACCGCGAGAGCCTGAAACCTTTTCAAGGACACGGTAGCGGGTGTGGAGAGGAAGCAGGCGGTTCCCATAACAAAGTGAAATTGCTTACCTGGACTACGTGAGAGTGGGGGGGGGGTTGGCTGGGGAAATTATTGTTTAATTCGATGAACTGGTATCTGGAACTTCAGAGTTATTTTTGCTTCAACATTACCATGCATTAGTATTTAATAATACTACCCTGCCAACAAAAGTGCGTATAGTCAAGGCCATGGTTTTCCCAGTTGCAATGTATGGCTATGAAAGTTGGACCATAAGAAAGGCTGAGCGCCAAAGAATTGAGGCCTTTAACTATGGTGCTGGAGAAGACTCCTGCGAGTCCCTTAGACTGCAAGGCGTTCAAACCGTTCAGTCCTAGAGGAGATCAACCCCGACTGCTCTTTAGAAGGCCAGATCCTGAAGTTGAAACTCAAATACTCTGGCCACCTAATGAGAAGGAAGGACTCACTGGAGAAGGGCCTAATGCTGGGGAAGATTGAGGGCAATAGAAGAAGGGGACGACAGAGAAGGAGGTGGCTGGATGGAGTCACTGAAGCAGTAGGCGTGAGCTTAAATGGACTCCAGAAGATGGTAGAGGACAGGAAGACCTGAAGGAACGTTGTCTATGGGGTCGCGATGGGTCGGACACGACTTCGCAATTAACAACAATAACAAGATTTTCAGAAACGGAATGAATCTGGAGTTTTATTTGGATTCTCAAACTGGATGTCGACAGCCAAGAGGCACTTGTTCTGTTTTTGAGCATTGAAGTTGCCCAGTGCAAATTGGTACTCTAATATTTCTATTGTTAGAATATTTGTAGCTCAAGATTGAACTGTGGGGTCCTTTTAGCTCTCTGAGTTTGGTTATTTTCTTGCAGACATTTCATTACCAAACTAGGTAACATCATCAGTGCAGCAAAGGCAGTAATTATAATTGATTTTGGCAATATAGTAATGAAACAAATAAGAAAGGAAGCTGTTACAAGAGATAGACAAATGTTTGATTACAGTAATTTGAAGTTTTTCTTTTCAGTAACTGATTTATACCGGTGATCACTTTTTCTTGTTTCTAGGGATGATTTAGGTTTTAGATTGATTTCTGAACAGGTCAGTCATCATCCACCTATCAGCGCATTTTACTCTGAAGGCTTAAACCAGGACTTCGTTTTTCATGGCTCAATTTATCCTAAATTGAAGTTTTGGGGGAAGAGCGTAGAAGCAGAACCCCGGGGAACCATAACATTGGAACTGATAAAGTAAGTATCTTTCTTGTCTGGGTATTTCCTTTTAATAGCTATCTCTACCAAGGAATTTTCATGTATTGATCTTTTTCTGGATTATGTTTGCATATGAGGTCTTAAGTTTCTATAACTCAAAGTTTCTATAACTCAGATGCCCAAAATATCGTATTAAGCACAAATACAAATTATAGTGCAAAAATATCAATATTGATAGAAGAGAATATTTGTAGCTCAGGGATAAACTGTGGGTTCTTTGGTGTTCTCTAAAGCTGGTGGATCTCTTACAGATTTTTCATTACCATACTAGATAACATCATCAGTGCACTGCATCCCGTTGATGAATGACACTTTATATAGCTGCTATTAGTTTATATGTACTAATCAATTAATTTTTGGCTGATAAATGCCAGTCTATTTAAAATGAAATCTAATTATTGCTGTAAGACTGGGTGAGAGCCACATAGTAATAATTACACCTGCTCTGTGGCTTTGCATAATTTTTTTTAGGAAAGTTTAAATTAATTACTCTGTAGTTGCATCACTGTCATCAATACAAGTAATCCTCAATTTATGAACCAGTCACTTAGCCACAGTTCAGAGTTACAATATAGCTACTGGAGGGGCTATTTACAACCTGGATTTGAATTTCTGATGGTTATGCTCCCATTACAACTTACAATTGTGATGTGTGGGTCCCATTACTGTCATAAGTCAAGAAGTATCTGTACCTAATGCGGGGGTCTTCAAACTGCCTGGCTGAGGAATTCTGGGAGTTGAAGTCCACAAGTCATAAAAGGGCCAAGTTTGAAGACCCCTGACCTAATGTTTTACTTGGTGGCTTTGTTCTGCAACAGCTGTAACTCTGTATGTTTGTGTGTGTGTGTGTGTGAGAGAGAGAGAGAGACAGAAGAAGGGAGGAAGGGGGGAGAGAGAAACTATATTAGTAGTCATGCTTGCTTTAACATGTCATAGAGCGGGGTGGGGAATGATGGCCCTTTTATGACTTGTGGATCTCAACTCCCAGAATTCCTGAGCCAGCATGGCTGGCTCAGGAATTCTGGGAGTTGAGGTCCACAAGTCATAAAGGGGCCATCATTCCTCACCTCTGTCATAGAGCATAAATTCATAGAGCTTACTGATAAACTTGCTGACTAACACATTACTTTGCATGATCAGTGAGAACAGGGATGAAAGTGATTACTGATCATGCAGAGTAATCTGTTAGTCAGCAAGTTCATCAGTAAGCAAGTATAATCTGTATAAACAGCAGTGAAGCTGTTGCAATGCGTGCATTTTTCTTTGATGCCAAAGAAAGTCAGGATTATCCCTTCAAACTAAAAGCAATGAGATTCATAGCCAATGGAAATTCACCTCTTCATGCAACACATAGTTTTCCTAGAATGTATAGAGATTAAATGTGATCTGTAAAAATTTACATGAGGTCTTCTTTTCGGGGTAGGCCTTACCTCACCTCCGGCACCGACAGCCCCACCCAGTCGGTCCACTTCTTCTAGGGCCGAAGTTCTGCAGCTGCATTCGTGCCTGCATTTGGCAGTCAAGCCTTTCCGAAAGGCCTAAGCAGCCGAGTACCGAGTTATGGATTCAATCCATAGCTTGGTGCTCGGCTGCTGAGTTCTTGCAGAACCGAGTTATGGATTCAATCCATAGCTCGGTTCTTGGCTGCAGGGCCTTCCGGAAAGCTCTGTGACTGAGAAATGCAGGCTTGGCTACAGAAGAGGCCTCAGAAGAAGAAGTGGGCTGGCGAGGAAAGGCCTGGCTGCAAGGTAAGTGGGTGTGAGGCGAGTGGGGCAGCTCCACTCCCCACCCCAACCCTAGCTTGATTTTTAGCTGTGTGCCTCGTCCCAAAACTAGGGATTATTTTTGGGGTAGGGCTTATATTAGGCCCACCCCAAAAATCAAGCTAGGGCTTATTTTTGGTGCAGGCCTTACTTTTGGGGAAACACGGTATTTACATGGAGAGGAAAGGTTTTCTGATCCAGATTGCACTTATTCCAGTGGGGAAAAATAAAAATACGTTGCTGGTCATATTATAAACCTTAGCAGGCATACAATCTAAGCCATCCACTGTTTTGTTCATCAATTGTGAATTTGGAAGACAATATTAATTCTGGGTATCGTCCATTATCTATATAAATAAAAATGTAAATGTTCGTTTGTTCAAAATCTTAAATCTCCGAAAGTTCTTCACCAATTGCTTTGAAATTTTGACACAACAATGCATTCGAATACATGTGTGTTTTTATATACCTACTATTATATAGATGTCACACCTGTGACAGGTAAAAACATTTAACCTGTCTGAACCACAGCAACGCGTGGCCGGGTACAGCTAGTTGTGTAATAAAAAGAGACAGAAAAAAGTACCACATTTCAATGAATTGGCCCTCTTCCTAATAGTAAAAGAATATCTAACTGTTTTTTTTGTAAAAAAAATGCCATGTCTTCTTAAAGTGGCATTTTCTTTGTTAATTTGTTTATATGTTTTTTTCTCCAGTTAAGGAACATTTGTGATTGAGGGTTTATATGGGTTTTAAATGATGGATGAGGAAAGAATGAAACATTTTAATATGCAATTTAGGCTTTGTTTCATGTAGCTGCTGATCTATGGTAGAACAAGAAAATATTTTGCCAAACATTAAGTGGATGTTGTCAGTTCTAGGATTTTATGTTTGCTGAGTTCATATCTTGAGTAAGTTTCAAAAATTTCAAGGTGTTGGTGCTGCTAGGAATGTAATGAGTTTGGTTTAGAAGCTCCAGTGAAATCTCCTTTTTCTAACTACTGCTTTAGCCCAACCTGCCTACCGTGTGAAGCTGTTACAAATCACTACCAATCTTTTCAGATTATTAAGTAACTTAAAACAAAAACTTTTGACATGGTACCCTTCCCTCCAATCAATTACAAAATACATTTTTAAAGTTACATTTATTATTTTCATCTTCTTCATTGTTGCTTTGTGGTTAATGTTTGCATTACGGTTTTAAAAATTAGTTTGTTTTCAGTTTTATTTAATAAACATATTTATTTACATAAATTTAGAGACAGTCTGGTTAGTCTAGGACTCTAGGCACTTTACACCAGTAAAATTGTGATTAATAAAGTTAAAAAAAAAAAATACCCACAGAAATTTGCATCCAGAAAGCAAAATGCCAAACAAAATGAAATCTTATATATTTATTTGATCAATTTGTGTAGCCATCCATCTCAACAAGTGATTCTTGTCTATAAGTGAATCTTATACTTTATCACTATATTAATTCAAGATCTGGGACAGTAAGGTTGTCCTCAACTTATGACTACAGTTGAGCCCCAAATTTCTGTTGCTAAGCAAGGCAGTTGTTAAGTGAGTTTTGCCCCATTTTTGAGACCTTTTCTGCCATAGTTGTTAAGCGAAATACTGCAGTTGTTCAGTGAATCATGTAGTTGTTAAATGAATCTGGCTTCCCCCATAGACTTTGTTTGTCAGAAGCCAGCTGGGAAGGTTAGAAATGGTAGTCATATCGCCTCAGGAAACCGCAAGTATCGTAAATACATGCCAGTTGCCAAGCATCAGAATTTCGATCATGTGACCGTGGGGATGGTCATAAGTGTGAAACATTGTCATAAATCACTTTTTTCTATCCGTTGTAATTTTGAATGATCACTAAATCATTCAATGGCTGTAAGTCAAGGACTGCCTGTAATCAGGTTTTCTGTCTCTTATTTTCTTATTTTATTTATTTTATTTTATTTTATTTTATTATTTTCTAAGCATCTGATCAACCTTCTTTTCTTCACTTACAGACACCGCGAAGCTTACACTTGGAGTAACCCTACCTGTTGTGTACATAATGTAATTATTGGCAAGCTCTGGATAGAACAGTACGGAACAGTAGAAATTATAAATCACAGGTAAATTTTCATTTATGTGACATTTCGTGTTCTGTCAAATGTAATATATATCACTGTGAAGTTGTGTCTATCTGGTTCTGCCTGTTGGCAGAAGCAGTTTGAAGGATAAAGATTTGTTTCTGTGGAATTTTAATATCTCTCTTCTGTTTGCGTGGGAAGAGATGAGCCTGCGTTAAAGAATTATTATATTTCTTTCTAACACAGGGGCGGAATATGTAAAAAAATCTCTGTTACTGCTGAGGTTTTTCTGCAATCTTCCTGTAGAAATTTTAAAGCTTCTCAACTCCAGTAAATTATTTAGGGATTGGGTGCAAGCACTTTACAGTAAAAAAGTGCTTCCAGTGCAGGCTGCAATATTGTTTTTTAAATTCAGTGGGGTTCGAAATAGTATTAAAAAAGAAACCAATTTAGGTTCTGCTGTCCTTTGTCACTGAGCACAGCGTTGAGCATCCATCTAGGTGTGAAGATGGCCTTGTACATGTCTGCTGTTATATTTTGTCTCCCCCCGCCTTCCCTGGAAGAACTGGCCCTTTCTCCCAAACTGTGGTAAAACTGCCCATGAGTGGTTGCGATAATCAAGAGCACAGTGATTAGCAACATTGTGAGAGAGACAGACAAACAAACAAACAGAGAGCCAGTTTGGTCTAATGGAGGGGTAGGCAACCTTGGCTCTTTTATGACTCGTGGACTTCAACTCCCAGAATTCCTGAGCCAGCCATGCTGAGGGGAAAGGGAGAGGTTTCCAAGCTGAGCCATGCTGGCTCAGGAATTCTGGGAGTTGAAGTCCACGAGTCATAAAAGAGCCAAGGTTGCCTACCCCTGGTCTAATGGTTGAGGCATCAGGCTAGAGACTGGGAGACTGGGAGTTCTAGTCCTGCCTTAGCCACGAAAGCCAGCTGGGTGATTTTGGTCCAGACGTTCTCTCTCATCCCAGATCTGTCTCACAGGGTTGGTTGTAGTGGGGAAAATAAGCTGGGGAAGCTGGGTTCGATATGTTCGCTGCCTGGAGTTTATTTGTAAAAATAATAAAGGCAGGATACAAAAATAAATAAACAAATAAATAAATAATATGATGCAGATACTGACTGGGGAGAACCTTTTTTTTTGCTATGAGATCTTAGCGCTTTGCAACTTGTTTTCTTTTCTTTTTATAGTACTGGAGATAAATGTATTCTTAACTTTAAACCATGTGGGCTGTTTGGTAAAGAGCTTCACAGAATAGAGGGCTACATTCAGGACAAAACGTAAGTGATCTCTCTGAATCATAGAATCATAGGGCTGAGAAGGACCTTGGAGGGGTGAATGGATCTAAGACAGGGGTCTTCAAACTTGGCCCTTTTATGACTTGCGGACTTCAACTCCCAGAATTCCTCAGCCAGGCACACTGGCTGAGGAATTCTGGGAGTTGAAGTCCGCAAGTCATAAAAGGGCCAAGTTTGAAGACCCTTGATCTAAGTCAGACATGTCAAACACAAGGCCCGGGCCCCGGATGTGGCCCGCAAAGTGGTTTCATGTGGCCTGCGAAGCCATCCTGGAAACAGTGAGGGAACGGCCCCCGCTGCCTTGGCCCTGGCCCAGGCCGGACGGGAGCCAATATACAATTTTGTGGTGGCCATCTATGCTGAAACACATTCAGTCTTAGCTCCACAAGGCCGTCTAGAAACAGCGAGGAACCAGCCCCTGCCGCGTCGCCCCCGTCCCCTGGGTGCATGCTGGGGAGGTGTCACCCTTTGTGAGGAATGAAGAAATGGACCATGCCTTGGCGCTTGCCCTGGTCCCACCCCCTTCTGCCAGAGACCCTCAGATCTGTCCCACTCCTGCCCAGGCCCCCACAGGCACCCTTGACGTGAATGATATAGAGCTGGCCATGCCCACCCAGTAGGCCACACCCACTCCATCCACGCCCACCCAGTAGACCACACCTACCCTGGCCGCCACCCCCAAGGGCAACCGCAATGCTGATGTGGCCCTCAATGAAATTGAGTTTGACACCCCTGATCTAAATGGTTATACACTATCTTCCCATATGGAAAATCTTTCCAATTGGCTCTACAGAAAAGAAACATACAGAAATCTGTTCCGATTTCTGAGGAAATAGCAGTGTACAAAGTCTTTCATATTTCTCCAGTACCTGAGTTTCATGCCAGGTAGTCCTTGACGTACGACTGTAAAGAAGCCTGCCCTTTAGAGTTATAAATCACGACGGGTAGTAAAACAGGTCAGTCCTGTGACTGACCTGATACTGCAACCTTTCTTGTGGTCATTAAGCAAACACTTAATGTTTGTTAAGTGAATGCTTCAGTCGTTAAGTGACCCGTTTGTTTGCGATGGGGCAGTTTTGCCAGATTTTGGCAAAACTGTTGTAAAATGTGATGACATGACCGTGGGACGCTGCCAAGAGTCATAAACGGGACTGTGTTGCTGAGTGATTGTGTTGACTCGGAATTAAGGGACAGCATAGGAAGTATCAATAGTGAATATGTGCAGATGGCCCTGCTGTCTTTGGGCACTTGCAGAGAGTCATGGATGTAGGATCATGAAAGGACAACAAGGAAAACACCCAATGTCCTAACCTACCCTGGAACGTACGATGTCTTTAGGGAAACACCCAAAAGGGAACATTTTTAGCTACTTCGGCTTTCTCCCTTCTTATCTACAGTGTGCCAGACTTACTGGGCGAAATCTTTATCTTATGTGTGTCAGCTTTGCTGGGTGGATTGCTTATGTAATTAGAAAGAATAAATACAAGGATTTCTTGTCATTCGGGACTTCTCTGTTTTAGAGGAGCCTGTCTTTGTTCAGCTGAATAAAAACGTAAAGCTGAAAGGCAACTTCTGGTTTCCTGTATTTTTTAATCAAGCAAAAACTCAGAACCTGCAGAAGAATTGAAGTTCGGTCATGTGACCCCAGAGGGCCCCTGACTATTGGAACTGTGAATCTGGGTCATAAATAGCCCGAAGGAAAGCCCGGTCATAAGTTGAGGTCTACCTATACTGTTCTAGAGTTTGGGGTTTTTCAAACTGGGTGCCATAAAGACTTGAATGAGCTCTGCAGGACTAATAGGGAAAAGGTGCTTTCCATAAGGGACTGAATTGGAGAGGGCTGAAATAATAATAATAATAATAATAATAATAATAATAATAATAATAATAATAATAATAATAATAATAATAATAATAATAAAGTTGGAAGGGACCTTGGAGGTCATCTAGTCCAACCCCCTGCTCAGGCAGGAAGCCCCATACCATTCAAGACAAATGGCTGTCCAGTCTCTTCTTAAAAACTTCCAGTGTTGGAGCATTCACCGCTTCTGGAGGCAGGTTGTTCCACTGGTTAATTGTTCTAACTGTCAGGAAGTTTCTCCTTAGTTCTAGGTTGCTTCTCTCCTTGATCAGTTTCCATCCGTTGCTTCTCGTCCTGCCTTCAGGCGCCTTGGAGAATAGCTTGACTCCCTCTTCTTTGTGGCAGCCCCTGAGATATTGGAAGACTGCTATCATGTCCCCCCTCGTCCTTCTCTTCATTAAACTAGACATACCCAATTCCAGCAACCATTCCTTATATGTTTTAGGCTCCAGTCCCCTGATCATCTTTGTTGCTCTTCTCTCCCACCCCTCTTGATCAGAGGTTCCAGGAATTTCTTTTCTAAAACAGTCAGATTCCATGGTCTGAAAAAAATTACGACCATTTTTCGCACTTACGACCATTGCACCATCCCCATAGTGACGTGATCAAAATTCAGATACTTGACAACTGGCTCGTATTTATGACAGCTGCGTGTCCCAGGATCATGTGATTACTTCTTCTTCTTTTTTGCGACCTTCTGACAAAGTCAATGGGGGAAGCAGGATTCATTTAACAGCCTCGGTGCTAACTTAACAACTGCAGTGATTCACTTAACAGCTGTGGCAAGACAGGTCACAAAATGGGGCCAAACTCACTTAACAACTGTCTCGCTTAGCAGTGGAAATTTTGGGACTCAGTTGTGGTCTTATGTTGAGGACTACCTCAACGCATAATAAGAAAAATGTCAACCGTGAATTTTATTATCAATTTTTGCAGTCTGGAATATGAAGTAAATGTGATTGCCTTATAATTTGTCATCCCACCCATCCCACCCATTTTTCTGTAACTATTCTTTTCCTCACCTAATTTAATTTCTAGATTTCTATTGCCTTGGAAATAAGTTGACTACTTTTTATTATTATTATAATTATAATAATTATAATAATGATTAATAATAATAATAATAATAATAATAATAATAATAATAATAATAATAATAATAATAATAATAATAAAGTTGGAAGGGACCTTGGAGGTCATCGAGTCCAACCCCCTGCTCAGGCAGGAAACCCTATACCAGGGGTAGGCAACCTCGGCTCTTTTATGACTCATGGACTTCAACTCCCAGAATTCCTGAGTCAGCTCTGACTCAGGAATTCTGGGAGTTGAAGTCCATGAGTCATAAAAGAGTCGAGGTTGCCTACCCCTGCCCTATACCATTTCGGACAAATGGCTGTCCAGTTTCTTCTTAAAAACTTCCAGTGTTGGAGCGTTCTAGGTTGCTTCTCTCCTTGATCAGTTTCCATCCGTTACTTCTTGTCCTGCCTTCAGGCGCCTTGGAGAATAGCTTGACTCCCTCTTCTTTTTGGCAGCCCCTGAGATATTGGAATGCTGCTATCATGTCCCCCCTCGTCCTTCTCTTCATTAAACTAGACATACCCAATTCCAGCAGCCGTTCCTTATATGCTTTAGCCTCCAGTCCCCTAATCATCTTTGTTGCTCTTCTCTGTACTCTTTCTAGAGTCTCAGCATCTATAGTTTTGCAAACAAAAAAACAAAAAAAAGCCAATTTGTGGAAAGTGTGAACTTAAGGTGAGAGTATGTTGAAAGCTGCTAGAAGTCGTGTTTTATGTTTTGAGGTTCTTTCCAGCAAATGGCAGATATGATAACTTTTCATGTCACCTTGGGTTTGGGGTTTTTTTTTTTGCCACTCCTATTCCAGATCATCTGATTGTGGGAAAGAAAAATAACACTACAGTATCGGTAGTTAGAGTGACATTCCTTCGTATTAGAAAGGTTAATCTCATAAGCCCATGTTAACACTCATACATATTTCATTTGTGCTGTTAGGGCTGAGTTAGATTCTATCAGATGTTAATTAGGCTGGAAATTTACAGGATCTGAGTAAGCTAAAATATCTTTTAAAACAGTAAGAAGAAACTCTCAGTGATCTATGGGAAATGGACAGAATGCTTGTGGTGCGTTGATCCTTACTCTTACGAAAACTACAAGAAGAACGAGAGAAAAGGTGGCGATCAGAAGAAACCAAAGCCGGTAAGTTTTATGAAAATAAAGGAGCTTGCACATCTTTTTAAATAAAATTGTTTTCTAAACAGGATACAGTGCAAATGGGAGGATTGTTGCTTAGGTTACGATAAGGCAGGGGTAGTCAACCTTGGCTCTTTTATGACTCGTGGACTTCAATTCCCAGAATTCCTGAGCCAGCTCTGACTCAGGAATTCTGGGAGTTGAAGTCCACGAGTCATAAAAGAGCCAAGGTTGACTACCCCTGGTTTACAGTATCTACAGTATCTAAGTTGGAAGGGACCTTGGAGGTCATCGAGTCCAACCCCCTGCTCAGGCAGGAAACCCTATACCAGGGGTAGGCAACCTCGGCTCTTTTATGACTCATGGACTTCAACTCCCAGAATTCCTGAGTCAGCTCTGACTCAGGAATTCTGGGAGTTGAAGTCCACGAGTCATAAAAGAGCCAAGGTTGCCTACCCTTGCGATAAGGGTATCATCTTTACCTTGATAAATTCTGGGATTATTCAAGGTGGTGTCCAGGGTAATCAGGGATTACAGTTAGTCCTTGATTTATGGCCCGATTGGAACCTAGAATTATTGTCATAAATATGCCAATCATTAAGCAAATCGTCATTGACTGTACCAATTTTACAACTATTTTTGCAGCGGTCACATAGCCAGTGTTGCAGCCATTAAACAAATCCATTGTCCGCAATGGGTTTTCTTTTGCCAGAAATCAAAAGCATACACCAGTCATAAATTGTGGCCATGTGACTGTGGCCATAAATGCAGGTGGTTGCTGAGCACCCAATATGTTGACTGCAGGGCGAGGGGGCTGCTGGCCTTGCAACTTTGAATGGGGGTCGTAATTAGCTCCGGGAGGTCCATTGTAACTTTGAATGGTGGCTAAGTGACCGGTTGTAAGTTGAGGTTTGCCTGTATCTGGAAATCCTTATTTATTTATTCAACCTATACGCTGCCCATATTGCCAAAGGCAAGAAATGGTGTACATTGTTCTCCCTTCTGCAATTCATTGCAATGGGAGGCTTTTAGAACAGTTGTTGATAAAATGAGCAGGCAAAGGGGTGAAATTGAAAGAAGAGATATTTTTGGCTCTTGTGAGTGTGGGGGATTGTAATAAATAGTACAAGAGTGAGAGTAAAGTAGGAGCAGACATTGGCAAGGAGGAGAGTGGGGATTTTAATGAATAAGAGGCAATGAATGACATGGTCTATGGCAGTGATGGCAAACCTTTTAGAGACTGAGTGCCCAAACTGCAACCCAAAACCCACTTATGCATCGTTGAGTGTCGGGTGGGTGTGGCCCATTGGCTGGGTGTGGCCCATTGGCTGGGTGTGGCCAATTGGGTGGGTGTGGCTGCGGTGGTAATGGCAGACTGGGTGGGACTAAAAAGTTCAATCAATCAATTTCAACTTTGCAAGATCTTTTTTTTCCCCGCGAGAAGTTGAAATTGACTGATTGAACCTTTTTTTTTGCACACGGCGGCGGTGGCCTAAAGCGAAAAGGTTTTATAAAACCCAGCTGAAGGCCTAGGACTGGGGCGACAGCACGCGTGCCCACAGAGAGGGCTCTGAGTGCCGCCTCTGGCACCTGTGCCATAGGTTCACCACCACGGGTCTATGGCGTGGCTGAAGCAAAGATGGATTTTAAGGATAGAAAAATACGGAGAAGTAAAATGATGTGAACCAGCTATCCGTTGCTTCTTTTTTACTTTCCTCCCTTTAACTATGGTTAATATTAGTTACTGTTTTTTTTCTGTTTTGAATAACATAGCTTAGCCTGAGAAGATTAATTTAACGAGTATGGAGGTATGGAAGTATGTAATGAAGTTTCTGTGCTGCAGGGAATGAGAGGGAGATTGAGCCTACGTGTTGTTGCTTCAACAGTTCATTGCACCATAAATGAACTTGGATGCTCCGTCTTTCCCCATTCTTCTTCCCATGTCTTTTTCTAAATTGGCTTTGTGGTTTTTAAAATCCTCCCCCAAGGATATCCAAATTGGATAATGTTGGGAAAGAGTTGTTGTTGTTGTTAGTTGTGAAGTCGTGTCCGACCCATCGGGACCCCATGGACAACATTCCTCCAGGCCTTCCTGTCCTCTACCATCTTCTAAAGTCTATTTAAGCTCACGCCTACTGCTTCAGTGACTCCATCTAGCCACCTCATTCTCTGTCGTCCCCTTCTTCTTCTATTGCCCTCCATCTTTCCCAGCATTAGGCTCTTCTCCAGTGAGTCCTTCCTTCTCCTTAGGTGGCCAAAGTACTTGAGTTTCAACTTCAGGATCTGGCCTTCTAAAGAGCAGTCAGGGTTGATCTCCTCTAGGATTGACCGGTTTGATTGCCTTGCAGTCCAGGGGACTTGCAGGAGTCTTCTCCAGCACCATAGTTCAAAGAGTTGGGAGCCCTTAAATCAGAGATCTCCAAATTTAGCAACTTTAAGACTTGTGGACTTTAATTCTCAGAATTTCCCAACCAACATGGCTGGCTGAGGAATTCTGGGAGTTGAAGTCCACAAGTCTTAAAGTTGCCAAGTTTGGAAACATTCTGCCTTAAATCATAGCTTGCTGTTTAAGGTCTTCCAGAACCTTTGGTTTAAGAAACCAGGAAGCGTTGTGCCTAAATGGAAGCCATGTATGTATGGCTGGAAAGTAGTTCATAAGTTCCTTGATGCTCTTTTGATTGAATATGCCTAATTATTTCATTTTAAGAGAGAGGACCCTGAAAATGATGAAGCCGACGATATGCCAGAGATCCAAGAAACTGTGCAAGTTATACCTGGTAGTAAGCTACTTTGGAGGATAAGCTCAAGGCCATCAAATTCATCACAGGTGAGCTGCTCTGAGTATTGGAGGTGGATTTTTTTACATATTATGTACTTGACGGAAAGCACATCAGTAGATTAGAAAAAAATCTTGTATGTGTTTCCTTTTAGAATGTTAAAGATCTGTGAATAAATTAAAGGATCAGAAGTTGTAAAATACTTGAAAAAGGGTTAATTCTGATGCTGTAAAATTGCTTATTAGCCACGGGTTTTCTTGCAACTTGGATGGAATTGATATTAACTTGCATCTCTTCCATAGTAGTCTATAGATATTTTGATTTTGTGCCATCGGGTTAGGTTAGGGTCACCTGTCAGCATTCACCGAGATATGTGAATTGCTCCACGGCAATCTGTCGCTAACATGGTCCTTCAGGGTTTTGCAATGGTTCACCCTTCCTTCCAAATATATGGATACAGTACAGTGATGGCGAACCTTTTAGAGGCCGAGTGCCCAAACCACAACCCAAACCCCACTTATTTATCACAAAGTGCCAGGGCATTGTGGTGCCCACTGGGTGGGCATGGCTGCGATTGTCACGGCAGACTGGGTGAGCATGGCTGGGGTGGGCATGGCCACCTCGATGCTGCTCATGGGGGGAACGCCTGTGGGGGCCGGGCAGGGTTGGGGGAGATCCAGGGGGTCTCTGGCGGGTGAGGCGGTGGGCAGGAGGCCCAGCATAGATGGGAGGGAGGCATGCAATCCTAGCTGGGACTGAGGGGCCATAGCGCCGATGGGGATCTGGCTTTCCCTGCTCTGGGTGGCCTTTGGCTTGATGGGTGTGGGCGTGCTCTACCATCTCTACTCGAGCTCGCTAGCTGGCTGCTTCGCCTCCTTTGTGCTGGGTGCGGCTGCCGCCCCGGACAGCAGCGGCAGCCTAATGGACCTGCGCAAGCTGTTGGCAGTGGCGGCACGCATGCCCACAGAGAGGGCTTCAAGTGCTGCCTCTGGCACGCGTGCCATAGGTTCGCCACCACTAATATAGTAGATGGAAAAGACAACAGATTAGACCTACTGCAATTCATAACACAGTCAGAATGTAAAATATTGCTGTATCATTTGAACATACAATTACATAGTTATCAAGAAAAGCCATAATAATAACATTGGCATATTAGAACAATTTATATGCAGTGCCGAGTGCCACTATGCCTTTCTTAATTTATAGATGATGTAACAGAAGAAACCAAATTAAAGATTGAAGGAGACAAGGGACTATCTTTATTAAGTGCCACGTTGTTAGTAGGTTGATAGGTTAAGCTGATAGGTTGAGAAATGCATGTGTAATAAGTCTATCCACCCAGTAGAGGTACCAGATTGTAATCCAGTAAACAAAAATGATGCAATCCCAGATCCTCGTAGAATACACTTCATAAATTCAGTGAGCACAATATTTTTATCCTATGTCTTAACAGATAATAAATGTGCATAGTTAATATTCATTTATTAAGAAAATGTATAGGGCCATCCAACTCCCTCAAGGCTCTTAGAGAGGGAGATGACATATACTACATGCCGTGTGTTTACATTCCTGTTTCTGCTTTCAGATGTACAATTTCACCAGTTTTGCTGTCACTCTTAATGAATTGGAGAAGGGCATGGAAGATATCTTGGCTCCTACTGACTGTCGGTTAAGACCAGACATAAGGCATATGGAAAATGGAGAGATAGGTACGTGTAATATTCAGGCGGCCATTGCCCTCACAGATTAGAAACCTCAAGCAAAGCTATATTTTTCTTACCAAGTTGATGCCCTTATATCTTATTCTCTTCTGTGCATTCCAAGGATGGTTTGATCCTTTGAATTTGAAAGCTCCATCCTGATACCCCCAAAGTGTTGAGTACACTTTGTAAACCAGTAGATCTTGTTATAAAATTGCAAATTTTAATGTGACAGATGAGAAAAAAGATGCATTTATGAATGGAGAAGAATCATATTAACTGTACTTGAGGCTAATCACATCAAATGTAGTTGGTATCATGGCCATAGTATTACCAGTTTCCCCAAAAATAAGACCGGGTCTTATATTAATTTTTGCTACAAAAGACGCATTAGGGTTTATTTTCCTGGTAGGTCTTACTGTATTTTCGGGGAAATGCGATACTAAATACATCCGTCTTAACTGGGGCTTATTTGGGGGTGGGGCTTATATTATGAGCATACTGAAAAATTGGGCTAGGGCTTATTTTCCAGTTGGGTTTTATTTTCAGGGAAACACGGTACTGTTTGAAGATACTACTGTTTGAAGGGCAGTCCTGGCATGCACCGAGTCTGGTAGAAGTTGTGAACCTATTTTAGGACAAGGGAATTTACTGAAGGGTAAATGGTAGGAACATGTTCTAGAGATATTTAGAAAAACAGTATAATTGCAAAGCACCTGAAGGCAGGACAAGAAGCAATGGATGGGAGCTAATCAAGGAGAGAACCAGACTAGAAATAATGAGAAATTTCTTGGCAGTGAGAACAATTAATCGGTGGAACGGCTTTGCCTTCAGAAGTTGTGGATGCTCTAACACTGGAGGCTTTCAAGAGGAGATTGAACAACCATTTGTCTGAAATGGTATAGGGCAGGGGTAGGCAAACCTGGCTCTTTTATGACTCATGGACTTCAACTCCCAGAATTCCTGAGCCAGCCATGCTGAGGGAAAAGGGAGAGGTTTCCAAGCTGAGCCATGCTGGCTCAGGAATTCTGGGAGTTGAAGTCCACAAGTCATAAAAGAGCCAAGGTTGCCTACCCCTGGTATAGGGTCTCCTGCCTGAGCAGGGGGTTGGACTAGAAGACCTCCAAGGCCCCTTCCAACTCTGTTATTCTGTTATAATTCTCATATACAAATGGTATAATCCTTTTTAAGGCTCCAGGTACGAACTCTTATAATTAAAACTCTCATTGATAAAAATAACGGGATA